AGGACAGAATGACGGAACAGGGTTACACTATATGCCCCGGCCATTATATAGCGGGGGCATAAAAAAGATGTATGAATACAAACAAAAATTGGGTTATCTAGCATAAGTTGTTTCTGTTTGATTTTGTACATTTGAAGAAATGTTTGCAATGTTTGTTTGACAATGACAAAAATTGCCAGTACAAAGTAATGAAGAGCTGTTTTGAAGTCATAAAACATAACATTAATAACATCCTAATGGTAGTAGAACTACTTCCCTGTTATAGTGGTGTTTTTTTCTGTGCTTATTTTTTGTTTTTACATAATTATGATTTTACGACTAATAATATGCATATGTTGGCAGTTATACTAGTAAAACAGATATTATATATTTTAAAATACGGACAAAATATTCTTTATCGTCTTCTAATGCGAACAGTTATACAGGAATTTAAGTAGGTTCAGAATCTCACGAGTCAATGACTCTTTAAATTTAGGAGTTTGTTTCATACATGCATGTAAATGTATCTCCATGTCCCTTTGTTTTTGTATATACATATTTAAAAAAAGTCATGTTTATGTTAACTGTTGATGAAATGGTTAATCCGTTGCTAAAATATCGATATTTTTTTTTTGTTCTTCTGCTTTGAACACGGTCCTGTGTACCGAAGAAAGAAGAAGCAAGCACGAATAATTAACAGAAAAAAAGCTTATTCATACTCATTGTTTTTTAGCCAATCAATTTTATTCTCGTATATATTGTTTTAAAATAACGTTGTCATGTTAGACATAAACAAGATTAATTTGTAAGTAGTATATAAATAAAGTTTTGACGACATTATAAGGGCATCAAAATGTTTTAACAAGTTGTTCACGTAAACTTTAAAAAAAGAAACAAGTAAAGAAATTATAAATCAGACCAACTTTATTATGTTTTTATTTTAAGGTTTTTTTATTGAATGTATTGTTTGAATGCCTCTTGAAGCGAAGATAAGGAACTGTTTTAATTGATAAATGTATATCTATCCGACCAAAAGAGCTATCAGTTTACAAGCTTTCTCATTCGAAATACATTAATAGGCACTTAGATGCTGCTTAAATCATTTTCAAATAAGTACGAAACTTATTGGATTCTGTGTACTCAAATTTGTATTTCCTAAAATTTAAAACCAACATTTTAACAAGATAGAACTGACGGTGTTGTAGTAGTTAAGTTTGTGGACTTCTGTGTAAAATTCATCTGCAATTATTTTTATTAACTTGTAATTTGACATTATTTGTATCTTTAAAAATAGCTCAGGGAAAAAATGTTTTTGATTATGCACATTTTTTCTAAAGAATCTTTTTAATGTTTTTTCTCCATAGTAATGACATTTGTATTTACCTAAACGGTCATTACATGAAATAGAATGTCCTGATTCACAAAAAAAACACCTTTGGTTCGTATCTGAACTATATCCTTGTTAAGACATTAAATTTTGGAAAAGGAGAGATCCCTAGGAACCATGAAAAAAATTGATAAAAAATGCAGACATCGTTTGATTGAGTCTGTTCATAAGGGATAATGGGGAAGTGGAAAATCCCTCACGCCCGCCCCTAGCACAGGGTTAAGCGGTATTCGATCTTTAACACAAAATATGCTTGAACCAATGACCCGAAAGGGAGCGAAAAAATATAACAATAACTTTACAATGTATTGTTTAAAAATAGTAAAGATCCAAAAAAAATTACGCGAGATTATAAATGATCCTGAAATAACACAATTTTTAAAATATCGCCAGATTTATCACAGGTATATCATTCTTAATAAGAAAAAATGCGTTAGTTTCGGAATCAATGACATCTATAGTTTATTTTTCTTTTGAAAACATCAAATTGGTAGATAACTAGGCAATTTCATTTTCATGAAATACCCAGCAAATTAAACATGAGATGCGGTGCTCGAAACATATGTACCTCATCAGCACATGTCAGTTAGCCTAATCTTTACATTAATCCTCTAAGTAATTCTGATCTGATTTGATGTTTTTTTAACATATCCCAGGAAAGCAAAATGTATATAATAAAAAAAGACATTGAAGAATTTAATAACTAGTAACTAAGGATTATGCTGGCGATAGATTCAAGTGAACCATAGTAGCAACTAGTGAGATGAGTGCATTTAATGTTTCTGTTCCTCTTTAAATATCTGTATCAATTAGGGTGAACTATGTTTGTAAAAGCAGCCCCACAATATCTTGTCGGACAAGGCACGAATAAAAAAAATTTAGAGTATGTTTAGCATATAAAACTAGTGTAGATCCATATTTAAGTCCACTAGTATTGAAATCACACTTATATCAATAAATATAATAAATATAATAAATACAAACAAAAATTGGCCTAGGGTAACCTGGTTTAACAAGCATAAGTTGTTCCTTTTTGTTGTTGTTGTTTTTTGTATATTTGAAGACATGTTTGCTTAACAATGACACAAATTACCAGTTCAAAGAAATGAAAAGCTGTTTTGTAGTCATAAAATTAACATTAATATATCCTCAAAGTAGAACTACTTCCCTGTCATAGTGTTTTTTTCTGTGCTTATTTCTTGTTTTTACATAATTATGATTTTACAAGTAATATGCGTATGTTGGCAGTTATACTTATAAAACAGATATTATATCTTTTAAAATACGGGTAAAATATTCTTTATCGTCTTCCAATGCCAACAGTTATACAGGAATTTAAGTATGTTTAGAATCTTACATATTGATGTTTTTTATCGGAGAAAAAGAAGAATGAAACCATTTAATTATTCTAAAAACATGATTAAATGCAGGATAAATAAAAAGTACATGGTTGATGTCGGGATGGAGAAGGTTTATCCGGTTCGCTGCGAAAGTGAATCTTGGCTCGCTAAAGCTCGCCAAGATACACTTTCTCGCTCACCAGATAAACCTTCTCCATCCCGACATCAACCATGTATTTTCAATATCTTTGCAAGTTCTGACTTATGGTTCAACAGTTGATAACTGAAATACTGTTCTAAGAATGCAAACAGAAAATTCCAAAGATTCTCAATCTGGACAGTATGACCATTTGATACAATCTGAAAGAAGTCAAAATATGTGCTATAATGTACACATGTTCTATGCTGAAAGAAAAGATAGAAACCGTAGATAAAATAAAGATAAAGTAAGTGTTATTAATTGCAGACCTCACAACAAGAGGAAAACATTCGTCAAGTTTCCATTTCTTATTTACGTTTAAAATACATCCCTTAACGAATTGTTTATATCTATTGCTCATAAAAAGTAGGCTCCAAATCTGTTTTTGCCAAAAGCCATATTTCTTAGTATTTTTCCTTGGTAATTCATGTGTTTTTGTAAACATTGATATGTTATCTAGCGCTTAACTATTGCTTAAAACTAAGTTAAACGTTGGTAAATAACTAAATGTTTAACTATGTGAAACCACAAAATTTTGTAAAAACCTTACATGAACACATCTAAGTTTTTTGTTTTTGTTTTTATTTTCATGCTTCTATTGATGTTTATTATCTATTATTTATACCTGTTCAAGTTATTATTCAATGCTTGTGGTGATCTCTTTCACTATAACTGCGTCTTAGGTTTTATTGACAGGTGAATTATTTGTATCTCTGTCTTATTTATTTCGACTGATCCAATTTTTTCTCTGATAAATGTTTATCTTCGATGATGTATAGCAATTATGTTCATGAATTAGAAGATACAGCTGCGATAAATTCAAAGCAACGACTATTGTTAAAATAACTTTCTTTCGTTATATGAGAGACAAACTCGGGATAATTTCAGCTAATTAATGTCATGGCGTTATTTATTATAGGATATAATAGTTATTTTATTCCGGGTTCGTAACAGTTGAATATTTAAAACATTGGTCTGAATTTCTTAAACATCTTTATGATAGCAGTAATCTATATTTGTACATTCCTAGCAGTTAAATTATATCGCATTAGTTTCTTATCCGATGCAGCTTTAACATCTGATATATACAAGGTTTTTTATGTTTACATTCTAATATTTATATAATTACAATAGATATAATTGTTTAAACAATTATTTCTGGCGCCACTGCTATTTGCTATTCATATTTATTATCCAATAAGACATTTTATTGTATAGTCCTTAATATTTCATGAATTCTTGAACTACTAATTAACAAAGGTAGTTCATATAATAATATGTCTTAATAAACATCATATTTTAAAGAATTTATACCTCATTTCTAACCCTTAATCTGCCGATATTTAGTAATGGATTTGATCTGATTTCATTTTGAAAGAGTTTATTCAAAGTTTAAGGGATTTCAAAATCAAAGTACAAAATTTGAGCTACTAACAATATCTGCACGAATGGATGTGCAGACAGTCCTGGCACTTAACATGTGCCAAAGGCTAATCGCTTTCAGTTCCTGCATGATTAGGACTAATATATACTTTTTAGCTCAAAATATGTTCAATGTTTAAAAAAGGCATTTATTTCAAAAATAAAATATATTTCATTAGCATATACTAAGAGGTTAATGTTTTATCAAGAGTATTTTGTAATAATTTGCAAGGTATTATAATAATATATACTAGTACCAAAATAAGAGGTATTTTTCTTCTAAAAGAATGTTCACACACTAACAGTAGAAATGATATTGAAAGAGAGCATTTGTGAATCATTGACTCATCGTGAAATTTTATATTCTTTCAACATAGATTACGGAACAATTTGATGATACGGTGACCACCTTCCATACATGTATTTAATCGGGGTGATGGGAAAGTGGTAGGTGTGTCTTCCTCTCAACCCTTGGATCGTACAAGTTGGTTACAGGTGACAGGTTTTAGTGTATTTCAAATATGTACAAGCTTTCTTCACAATCGCACCTAAATAAATAATATGTTAACTTATATAATAATACACACTAAGTAAGTATCATTATTTGTTGAATATAAAACATTGTAGCATGAAATTATATTACTTAAATAATAAATATATACAAACAAATAAACACTGATATGATTTCATTCTATTTACTTGTAAAACGACAATATAATTATGTAAAATGTAACGAGAGTCGGAAAATAATAATAATAATATCAGTGAATGCTTAAATCAAGTCATAAGAGTTTCTACGTTATTTTCACGCATACAGAAAGATACGTTTAATTTGCAGTTATCACATAAGAAAAATTGTAGAAGAAAAATGGTATCTTCATTCATCCAGACATGGCAATTAAACAACAATGCCCTAGATAGAAAAAATGTAAAGTACAGCACATTTTAAATCCTTTAGTGTTGTTCAACTTTAATCTGTGAATTGCCTGCAACTCATCCATTATAACATGTAAGAATAAACAAAAGGAATGATTAAAATTCCTAGTTTCTGGAAATTCTCGCTGGTAGGCTTGTCTTTCTGGTGTTTATAACAGAATTGCTATTCTCATGCTTCACCGTTCCATTACAACTTTCGTACGAGTGCTGTTTTTGATAGGTCAGACCGGAATCTGAATATCTTGAACGTTTCCGCTCTTGTTTCAAATAATGTCTTTCCATATCGGAATCTGACTCCACACTACTCGCGGAACTGCTCGTATCTAAACACGAGCTGCACTTATCAAGTTCTTTCACATGGTTACACGATTGATCAATTGCCCTAAGTTCATGACCCTCTCTGTCATCACGTTCATGTAAAGATCCTTTCTGGATTTGATTCTGACTATAGTTTGTTATGTACCGGCTGCTCTTCTTAGGTGAGAAGTTGTTTTCTTTCGAAAAAAGGTTTTTAATGAATCTGAAAGCTTTGACAATTACGGACTTTCTGAGAAGAATGTAAAGCCATGGGTCAAGTATGACATTTATACTGGCCAGACGAACTCCAATAAGGTCAGCAGGATAGTTGATTCTCCCAGTTACCTGATTTATGAGAATGTGGATCTGAAAAAAAAATAAAAACTATAAACTCTCTAATTAATATTCTGAATTAATTCATTTAATTCATTAAAATGATAACAATTATATGCTCTACATAAGGTAACACCATTGCAAACATTTTTTCTTTGAGGATTTTCTTTTGAACATTTCACACGATTATTGTAAAGAAAAATAAACCTTTATTCTTATCAAACTTAATTACAGAAGCCTACTCTAAAAATACTAATACTATCTTCGGAATTTACGATAACATTCATAGCATAATAATATATAAGCTACCAACCTGTCTTGTTATATGACATTTCACATTAAAACATAACTTAAATACAGTATAAGTACGAAATGATTTAAAACAACATTCCTATCTGTAAGGAACTGCAATTAAAGGCGTAAACCTTGACATTTCAATGATATATTCAATCAAATACTTGAACTTAATATAAACAATTATTTCTGTTTTATTAAGGTATAATAATAACACGCTTTAGAGCTTTTTCATTACTTTAGGTAATAGTGATTAGCTGCATACGGATGAATGGACCACTTGTTCCATCGACCAGAGTTTTATCAAAACAAAATTGCTAAATCAATAAAAACTGTCATTCACAGTAATGAGATTATCTTTTTAATGAGGACACTGATAAGCTGTATGACGTGAAAAAAAGATAATGTCTGCCAATCGATGGAATAAGAAATAAACCTCCAATATCTGTCAAATATTATTACTTGATTTTAGATTGGGTAAATGAGCTGTACTGTTTTAAAAAGTAAAGAAATCATTACAATGAAGATAATATCGCTTGCAGGTTTGAAGTATTTTTTTTTATTTTCGTGCTCAATATAGAAACGTTTTCTTCGGTGAATCTATGATAAATGTAAGACATAAAAAGAGGTCTTGGTCTGTCTAATTCAAATTTTCGATCACGCAAATGACATCAAGTGCTACATGTAACTATATGTTATGCATGTGTATATGCAATTAAAAAAGAAACTAAGAAGCGCACTTAAACTACCATTCTAAGAAATAACACATTATTAAAGAATATTAACTAGAGTAAAGAATATTAACTAGAGTAAAGAATTTTAACTACATTTATTCATGTAAAACGTATTCATAATAAGTTCTAATAATGTCGCCAAATTTTAGATAATAAAATAGTTTTTTTGTTGTTTTGCAAAGATTGTTTAAAAAACCAGCCAGTAAAGCAACGCACGAAAATTGAATTCTGTTTCAATTTTTGTTGAGAACTGATAAAAACATATTGAACTACATTTAGCACAGAAGTACATTTTCTGACGTCATTTGGTTTATTGACATCACAATTTACGTCATACGCATTTTAGCATTCTTTTTTTATGCTCTGCATATATTGTGTAATAATAATATTAATTGTCCTATCTTTTTGATAGGGGAACGGTTTGAAGCGTGTTAGAAAGATACACTTACATTAAGTGGAAACCAGCACGTTGTAAAGACTATAGTTATTGCAAACAGGAACCAGATCATTTGGGTTTCCTCCTCGACTTTTAGTTTTGATTTTCTATGATTCCCATTACGCCTCTCAGTTGACGGTGAACTTGTTAATTTTCTCTTTTTCATCTGTACTAACGTTATCATAACACACGAGTTTCCTATGATAATAACTGATATTATTATAACGTTGATAAAAGCATAAGTATATGCGTAAGCTTCATCACTGACACTCTCCCTATGGAAATTAAGAAAGCACCAAGAGCCCGGAAACTGGTGCGCATAACTTCCGAATCCAATGAAAGGCATGCAGCAGAATATCAACACAAAAGCCCAACATGACAGAATAATTCCTACCACTCTCTTTTTAGTCACTGATCTTTCATAATAATACGGGAAACGAAGTGCAGTGACACGTTCTATTGACAGGCAGCAGACGAGTAATGGAGTAATCATACCAAAACAAACCATGAAATATCCGTGATATTTACACAATGGATCGCCTCCAACCCATTTGAGATTATTTGCGTACACAATAATTGCAATTGGTCCAGTCATTAATTGACCGAGAAGGTCTGTTCCTGCTAGTCCACAAAGCAGAACATAAAACATTGTCTTCTTCATTTCTCTTCGCGCTGTGTATAGAACAACAAGGGCCACAAAGTTTCCTAAAATTCCTGCAGAATTCATGAGGATCGGCGTAGACAGACTGATGCCCAGTCCTTTTTTATTGCACATGGACGTGTTTTGAGACGCCTCGTCACAAAGAGAGTTCACTGAATTGTCTTTCATCGTGGGTATGAATGTCAAATTCACGGAAGTACCGTTTGTAGAAAAATTTGTGAAACTTTCGCCGTTCAGGACATCTATATAGATGGAGGTGTTAGCAACCTCTAAGCCAGTCATAATGATATTTTATGACCTGAAAATACAAAAATCACAAATCATTAAACAGTCATTCATGCGTTGAATTGAGAAGACTGCAGTTTTGAACAAATAAGCGGTTTTTTAAAGTAAAACACCATTTTTATGGTCTGCAGTGCTAGGGTGAGTGGACGGTAGCTTGCAGATATACCAATGCCGTTTCCTTTACAGGCTTAAACAAATCGAGCCTGTAGCATTTTCAATGTTTCCTCATTGAGTGATCTTAAATGTTTTCTTTTTTTACTATTTATTTATTTTATTAGGGAAATCATCAGAAGATTTGTTTATATAGCAGCAGCTGCTTTTTTGGAATATTATATATCAAGAAAAAAAGCGCGAAGCCGATAATATCGTTAAAACTGGTAAAATAGTCCAGTATATGTTATCAGATATGTTGATAAAATTATCTCAAATAACAACATATTGTAGCTAATATTTTTACGATTTTAACCCAATCTAGGAAAAAAACACATTTGATTACTCGTAGAAGATATCATATCATTTAAATGTGAGAATGAAGACAATACATTGAAAACTGTTTAAATTTTATAGACTAGTAAATAAAATTGCATTCAACCATTTATAATTTAAAAAAGACAACAACTATTGAAACATCATGCTTTAAGATAATTTGTTTATATCATTTTACCTACGTTTATCCTATATCGTAAACAGATACTAAACAGAAATCGTATCTTCCTTCAAGCTCCAATATTCCACCAAAAAAACTTGCATCTGCTGTCTACACATTTACTTATCAACGGAATGAAAACTAATTAAGTTCACGAATATACAAATGTCGTTTTCGCCATGAATGGAATGTCATGAATTTATATGTATAGGAAATATTAGTCCGACATGAGAAGTGTAAACACAATCACTGAAATACAGGTTGAACATAATATATCCAAACGGAGGTTTCACGTTGAAAAAAATACTCTGTCTTTACTAAAGAAGATTCCTTTATGTTTCTTTTCGCGTTGAAAAATATACTGTCTTAATAAAGAAGACTCCTTTATGTTTCTATCTTTAACCATAGTTGTAACAAATAAATGTCATTAAATTCCATTACTTCTGACATTGATGGCGGACACATGTACACACTCCTGAGTTATTGTAAACGCCTTAAAGATAACGCATTTAGCCGTTATAATTGCAGACCCCACATAAAGATACTTTCATTTTTTATTTGAAATAAATGTCCGTGTTTACCGCTGTACCTTTGGCAAATGTTCACTTTTTCTTGTAATATAATATTTATTTAGAAATTATGGCATATATTAGTATATTAATTTCCGCATATATTTTAACATTATTACCGTTTTTTTCTCATACATTTATACTCTGTTTCTTTCTACAAGTTCTATTTACACTGTTCTTTTTCCTCATAGCACAACAATTTTCCATTCATTATAAATTTCTGAAACGTCCTTTGTAATTGCATGTAAATTAATATCCGCATACATATTTCTGTTTCAGTGACATTTTATTTGCTTTCTTCTACAAATTGAATTATTCGGTCATAAATGCTTGCAACTTGTATATTAGTTAAGTGTAAAAAAAGTCCATTAAGCTATAGGTAATAAGTAGTATCCTAGCAGGCCTAAATTGATTGGCTTTTGATCTTGTTTACATCTGATCTTTGGACATCAATGGAATAACTGACCGCTTGGGTTTTAATTTATTGCCCGTTTTATCGCATTTCCTTCTTTCATTTTCAATGACATTGCGCATTAAATTAGCGTATCTATTCATCAGAAGGCATGTCTTAAAGACCCCTTGACGTTTAGGCTGACATACTTTTAATAGTGTACTATCTTTATTAAACTTAATGTATTTAATAGTTTATGAACCTTGATCGAAGCATGGATTAACGTTTATCACTATGTAAATTAATGTACTTTATAAAATTCCCTGGACGGCTTAAGATATCAATACATTCTGGCTACATAATTAAAGGCCCATTATACCTCTGAAATTATGCTAAACGTTACTTATTGGTCAATTAGCTGAACCATCTTTTTCATCTGTTTCTGTTTTGCAATAAGTACAGTTATTTTGATTGGAAGTCAAAATACTAATTTGTTAAAATTTTGGTACTTTTATGACAATGATTGTTACATTTATTGCTATTTTCTTCAGGTAACAAGCTACTAACATGCTCTAAATCCATTATTTATACATTATAAATTCCATGCGAACCCTTTCTAAAGAAGAAAAAATATTTTGGTTCTGCGGCATTATGTGCCTTTAACGAAAACTAAAGCAGTTATTATTCTAAACAATTATACTAATGAGGATCTTTAATTACAACAATCTTAATAACAATAGTGGTCAAATAATTTAGCAGAATAAACCTCAAAGCATTGCATTTTTCTACTTTTCATTACTTTTTATTTATTTATTTATTTATTTATTTATTTATTTATTCATATTTACTAATGTTAATGTTAGTAGCTTTCTGAGTATTAAACATTAATATTTTGAGCTCTTTTGGGACAGAAAAGTCAATTTTCATATGAAACTGAATTTGAGAGACTTTAACCTGTACCGGAAAAAACAAATAGCTTTTCCGCCATAAATAATAACTAAAATGGACATTTTGTGATTTTTGTACATTACAATCTTTAAGTAAAGATGTAAACGAGAAGAGAAAAAATGAATATTAAATAAAACAAAAATGGAAGTTTTATTTAATTTAAAAATATATAATAATTTCATTAAACATAAAAACAAACGCATTTTTTTTGGCTTTCGATATTTTGTCTTCTACATAACAATTGACTTTTGTGTTTTGTTATTTTTGTTATTGTTTAAAACGTATATATGAAATACTTACAAATACCTCAATTCATTATACATTATAGCATGTTTATTCCTTGTAATTTAGCAACGATTAAATCCTGTTATATATACACTTTCACTACTACTGAATGTGATGGGTCAGACCACCTCATTAGTACGATTGAGGAAGTAGTAAATGCCTTCATGAATCTTAATCCATTACACTACAAAACTCATAAAACAAGACAACGTAAAATCTTGTAAACAAAAAGTTCACCTAGTGCCTGCGAATAAAGTTCATCTTTTGTTATGTAATCATTCAGACCTCAACTATTCGCTAAAATAATTAATTTACAATCAAGCGTTTCCCTCCCTCTAATTACTCTGCTGAAATCTTTAAGACAGAGAAAGATAAAATTAGAACACTCTGGTACGATTGTTCAAAGGTCAACACTAAGTTATGAGAAAATCCCCACATGTACGGTTATTTTAAATTTATTATTAAAACGATGATTAAAAGCATTGTGAATATATTTCTTCCCATACATCCTTTCGTTGGTATATATTAGTTTAAAGAAAAATTATTTAATTTCCTTTATGAAACAAATATCACAATAACTTACTGAATCATTTATTTACAAAGCAACAGCTGTGTGACCTAGCAACGACTTTTAATCTGAAATAGGGAAATTACAGAACGGCTCCAAGACTATTTCAGAAGACGGTGTAATTGGAATGTACGGAGAAATTCATTCTGACAGTTTTAAATCCCTATCCAATGTTTACTGAATGTAACGTGGCATTTCTGCAATATTTGAAGATTTAACGTTGTTAAAGATTGTTCCTAATTGACGTAAACAGCATTTATGTGATAACTCTTAAAAATAACAAGGAAAATTTTCTGAGCACTGGCAATCTATTAGTACAAGTTAACCAGTACACCTTTAGATAGCTGTTGTACAAAACTTGAAAATTTGATACAAGTTTTTTGTGTTTGTTTTAATAAGAAAATAACCGAAGCTGTATTATATTTTTAAAGGTTCCATTTAGTGTCTTGTACGTTATAGAGAATATAATCGAACGCATTTTCTTTCATTTCAATGACATTGTATTTTATGTAGAAACATCTCTTTCTTAAGGTTTTTACATAACGTACATGTACAGCTTTCAATTAAACACTTACAAATATGACCTATTCACTTTTATGTATACTAGAACAATCGCTAGCCCTATACTAGTATTGTTTTATTTTATTCAAAGAATATTGTATAATAATGAATACTTAGATTCATAAATTAATAAATTTTTAGATGATCTATTAGCAGTTACATGAAATAGGAAAACTCACGTAATGTATGATGATTTATTTTTACTTATAGCCTCACATGATTTGTGAATCAGAAACGACAAAATTGCATTTTGACACATTGTATAGAGATATTTTGCCTCGTCCGAGGATTCCCTGAATTACAAATAAAAAAACCCTACATATTGAGCTAAGCGGGAGGACACATTCCGTTTTATTACTTCTGGCAATGATAAAACCACTGATATTAAATACTCACATTCATAATTAATAAATTGTTTATATTCGTTATAAAGGTTATGACGAAATTAAATATTTATATTGTTGCTGAACACTAAAAAAACGAGAGACTAGAGTCTAAAGATAGTGTTTCAATAGCAGATATCAAAACTTTAGAGTTAAAAGCATCTCTTTTTCTTCGTCAATAAAATCAGATCACACATCTCCATTACATAGGCTGTAATCTTTTTGTGTCTAAGCTTGAAATAGATTCTTCAAAGTAGAAGTTGTTTGGCAATAACAACCATAAAGACAAATTACAAGAACTATAAAACATAATTTAGCATTGATATTTCTGCATACTAAAACGTTTAATATGTTTTATATTCTCATCTACCGCCAACAGTATGAGTGTTGGTAATATGCTGTTGGTTTTTTTTTGCAAATCCTTCTATTTATCCTGAATTCATCAAATGGTTACAGGGATGCTGTAATATTTTTGTTATCTAATTAATGAATTGCTTTTCTTCAGTGACATGCAATGCGTGTATTCAAAGCAATTATAATGAATTATTCACCGTTAGTGACAAAATGAGATTTTATTTTCCTGCTTAATATATTTTTATGCACTCGTCTGAACGAAGATTTTAGAGCTCCTTCGAGTCGATATTAAAAAGCTTTTCTCTTTATAAATATTCATACTGGTTTATGAAATTACATATCAATTTCATCTTATAGACAAATGTCTGTGTGGTTGCAAAGAAGATTTAGAAACAGAAGCATAAATATGTGAAAACATCTCCTCAACATTGTCATTTCTGCGAAAAAAGCACCTCTAGCGCAAATCATTTTATAAGAGAACATAATATGTAAAAAATAGTCATGTAGGAACAAATTACCAGTTTTAAAATGTTAAAGGTGATAACGTACATTATTCAAAATGTGCATATATAATACAACGGTTATGCTTACCGGCATATTTATATACGTCCGAAATCTTGCAATAAAAACGCAATAATAAAACGGATACAATAAATCACTTAGATACACAGGAGCAATATATCGCGATTTCGCAAAACACACACACTTTTTCTCACTTTAACCCAAGAGAACCACTTACTCAATGTTTAAATAAAAGTACAAAGTTCAGATCAAGATCTGTTTTAAGATATACATACCTAATTTACAGAGAGATACAGGTATTTGATTGTAACAAAATATAAAAAACACTTATTTCAACCTTATCCTGTCAAGGCGGTGAATACAGGTTTAGATCAAAGATTCTACGATATGATATTAGCATGATATTAGAAAAGTCGAGGTTAATTCGGTGTCATGCTGTATAACTGTTTATGGCAATTTTAGGTGTTATAATTGATCGGAATAATAAAACAACAACAAAGAAATTAGATTGATTAATCTGCTGATTCTATTAAATATCAATAACTATATTCTTATACGAAGTATATATGGAAAAAAAATGTGAAAAGTATAGCTCCCCGAAAGTGATTTATGTTTTATTTACGTAGGCAAAAAATTAATAATTGCAATACTTAATGAAAGAAATAGATTTTTAATTAAAAACAAAAGAATAAAAGCTGTTTGTACGTAATTAGATGTATACAAGATAAATGGGTGACATGTGTTAACATAAAAATTATGTACAACCATCATTTGTTACATTACACTGCACAGTACTGACATTCAACTTGTCAGTGTTCTTCTAATATTATTCTGATCCTTAAGATTATTGTTTCCAAAAAATTTAATGCTAAAACCCCATGTGACATTGAAAAAAAAACAATTAAGAAACAATTGGTTGCAAATTTGCAGGTGTTATATATCTATTCAAATAAAACAATGGAAAATGCAAATTTTTCACGCACTGATAAGCATCGGTGGCTTCAGCAGATCAATTTTAATGCAGATCGAATCCAATAAGCGAACAG